ATGATATACACAGCGTCCAAAGAGGTATCGGACGATCTTCTTGCGCACAAAGGTCGATTCATCAAACCAGCCGAGGCGGCTGCCTTGATCACCGTGTAGGTCTCAGACACGATATCCTTACCGATGAGTCGTTCACTAAGTCATACCAAGGCCATTTGGTCCCAACATGCGTAAGTGTACCATGGCATCTCTGCAGGATGCGTTGCTTATGTCTTTGGATAGTCGGTTCGGAAGGGGAAGAATGGAAGCGGCACCGCCGCATCATTCAGCCTGCTTTCAACAAAGAGACGTACTTGCCATATGCCCTCCATTCTGTGGCCCCGCTCACATACAGTCAGATACAAACACGTTTGGGAAGAGAGCTTCGGACTGTTTGATGAGATGAGCGAGGCCGAGGGTTGGAATGACAAGGACGAGGTCTTGATCACACCTATAAACTCTCTCACAAGCCGCGTGCGTAGACGTATTATTGCTCAAGCTCAAACAGTTGTCTGATCGACTTGCACGATAGTTCACCCTACTCATAATCGCGCGGTGCGGGTTCGGACATCATCTTGACTGGCAGACAGAGGCGGCCCCGAATGGTGAAATGAACATCAGCGATGCTCTCGACTTCGTCGCCGTGAGTGCGCTGGTCCACTTGATCATTCCACCATGGGCCTTCAAGCTACCAGTCTCGTGGTAGGTACTCGCTCTATGCCGCGCATACGGTCCGTTGATATAAGTATGCCGTGCTCGATAGGCTCCAAAAGACAAACTCTGCCTTCATAACGGTCAAGGACTTTCTGGCCCATCTCATTACGAACCGAAAGGAGTCGTTGAAGGATTCTGCGGCGACAGAAGATCATCGACCTGACGTCTTTACGCGTATGGTCCATGCGAGCAATAAGGAAGGGAAGGGGTCCTTCAGTGACGCCGAGCTTGTGCGTTCTAGATGCACAACGACCACTCAGACGTTCTGACACACTCTGCGCAGGCTGGGAACACGTTCTTGTTGCTCTTCGCTGGACATGGTACGACGTCCTGCATGGAATGTGTACATGAGAGCCCAGCCTTACATCGGGCCAGACACCACTGCGCTTACGTTGGCGGCGGTGCTGGGTTTCCTTGCGATCTACCCAGAGATCCAGCATGAGCTTTACGAGGAGATTTGCTCTGTGTGCACTTCCGACGCTCATTGGGTACGTGCATGACCTTTTGTCCGCGATACTATGCTAATGCTCATTCAGGCGTTTGATGTTGCCTCCAGCCTCGTGAAGACAGAAGCAGCCATCGTCGAAGCTGCAAGAATGTACCCAGCCGCATCGCAGATGCTCCGGGCTGCGACGGAGGACACTATACTCCAGACGCATGAGCCGCACATAAACGGCGGCGTATTGAAGGTCAAGAAGGGTCAGAATGTAAACATCGACCTCGTCGGGATCCGTGCGTGCCTTCTCGGCTTGACATATCGAGATGTATTGAACACTGGGGTAGACTACAACCCGCGCTACTTCCCGGATCCTGAAGAGTTCAGACCATCCCGATGGTACGGCAAGAACGATTCAGAGTACACCATGTTTTCCTGGGGTCCTCGCGCATGTGAGGCTACGCGCTTCAGCTTGATCCTCGGTTGTACTGACGATTCAAATCAGGTATAGGTCGTCGCTTTGCCTTGACGGAGAGCATCTGCTTCCTCGCAAAGCTCCTACGCACTTGGAGAGTCGAGCCTATTCTCAATCAGGGCGAGACGACAGCACAGTGGCGTGGGCGTGTTATGCGTGCACGCACCGTCTTGACGCTGGGTGTGAGCGACGTTCCTCTGAGGCTTCTTCGTCGATCGCAGGCGACGAGCTGAACGTGAGGGTCATTGTGCGCCCTCGGCAAGCACACGACGCGAACAACTCGTGAACATTAGGACCTACATCATTCAATCGACGGAATGTTGAACTTGCGGAGATAGCGGGATGTTCCGCAGTCTAGCTATGACGGTCAGAAACTTGTCTCTGTGGTCCAGACGTCCATGGTGTAGCACCTGCTGGTGGTGGAGAACACTAACCTGTTGGCCCTGTACGTTCGCTGTGGCTCCAAATAACAATGACATGGCCGTGTGCTCCGTCGTGTACCTGAGCACCGAAAAATAACCCGGCTCGGCGCTCGCTCTTTACTATCTTTACTTCCGTGAAGCTCGATCATCGATCAAGCGCCCTCGGCGCTGCGCTCAGCGCTCCCCACAACGCCAAAACGCCCCGGACGCGCGTGTTCGCTCGGGCGCTTGAGGTCTCGGGCCGAAACGGCATCGTTCCGAGGATGGCCGGGACCACTCGCGAGGCTGCAGGGCGTAGACCCTCTGCCGAACACGAAAGGGAGGTCGAGATCCGTGCATCGTCGGGAACGACGAGGTACACAACGGCGCCTACAAGCGGCAGGGGATCGGAGTTGGGCGCTTGAGTGTTCTGGCTGAGTCTGCTGCCCGAGTTATGCTTAGATCAGCCAGATCCGCCACTGCTGACAGTGTACGCGCAGACCTGGTTGAACGGGTTTCGTCGGATGGTAGGCGGAAGCTTGTGTAAACGTACGCAGCTTCGTGCGTCTGTCGATTCTGAACTGCGAGAAGGGGGATTCGAGTGCAACGTACCGGATACGCATCCGATGGTGCCAGCGATGAAATGGACGATACGACCACCAATGGCAGCGCTTTCACTCGTATGATTGGCGGTGCTAGGCGGGATGTGTGCGAAGGATGCCAGTGCACGCCCTTCACGTTCAATACAAGAGGCTGCGCCTCTCGGGAAGTATACGTCGATTGTCATACTAGGTTGAGGGCACGCGTATTCCGCCCGCGAGAACGCACGGTTGCGGCAAGGGACTCGGCGACGCGTTTCTATTCAATTCACAGATAGTATGAGCACTCGGAAGGGCAGATAGAGCGCCAGTAGCAGCTGCGCGGAGCGCTGTCCTAGGATGCCGTGAGCGGCTGTCCTTCGTGTATGCGTATACCAAGCGCATACATTCAGCTCGGCTTTGCGCAGTAAGACCCCCGCCAAGCCTTTCCCCATGAAAGGCTACTTCATGGCTTCGTTTTACGCATTTGCAAAGCCATAGCTGCAGTACTCTGAGCCTGCAAGAGACCCTGTGATCCACCATTCAGACACCAAAATCGCTCTAAACGTGATAGATGTTGGGAAGCACGACGATCTTCTCGTCATCCGTAATTCTTCGTCCCCTCTCGTCTGAACCCCGACCGCTCGAGAGAGTGCTGCATCGCTTCCTTTGCCACAAAGCCTGCTTCGCGAGGAGTCGATGAACCTTGTCGCCATCATGGTGGGAAGCGCGGGCGGCACGCGATGCACCCAGTGATTTCGGAGATGCTGCGATGGAAAAGAAGCAGGTCTATTGGAGGTAAAGAGGTAAAGATACAGCAAGCGCCCCCTTCGGAACGAACAGAACGAACTCAAGGACCACGAGCGTACCACGCCCACGCCATGCGCGCAGCTATGTGTGGCTCGTGCATCTGTTACAGCCCCACCAGCGCGGTTATTGTGCGCGCATTCTCGCTGGCGAATGACCGCATCAGGGCGTCCACACAGGCCCACAGAGCGTACTGCCTCCAATGCGCGATCTGAGACGTCATGAAACCAGTCTAAAGTAGCTCGCCAACGACGACGATAAAGGGTCGTGCATCAAGCGGAAGCAATGTAAGGTATTTTGGTACTGGTCCAATGATTCCCGAAGCGAGTGGCGGTTATTGGCCGCCACGCTCCGTTTGCAGCCATGTTGAGCGCGAGAGACGAGTCAGAAGCTCGAAGGTTGGTGGTGGTTGCAAAATGAGCCGGCGGAGTGGGACGGGCACGGGGGACGGGCGCGTCCGAGGCCGAAACGGAAGACGAACAAGACGCCAAAAGACGCCGGAAGCTTCACGTTATAAAGTTGCCAGGTCTAGGCGCGAGAACAAGGATTCAAAGGCCCCAACTTCAAAAGGCCACCTGCCCCTCGACTTCCACTCAATCGACATCCTGTACTCTTTCACCCACCGCATACAGCCATGGCACAAGTCGCAGTCGCCTCCTCGAGCCGTTTGCCCCTAGACGCGTCTCTCAACCTGCACGCACCCCCTACACCCGCCGCACCCTGTGGCGAGTACGCGCTCGCGCAACTATATGGCGACCAAGTCTGCCTAGTGCAGCGTACGTGCACCATTACATACTCTTTCAACATTGCCTTACACCCTTTGTAGTCAACGCGCCACTATCCACCGCACATGCTCTCTCTGTCGTTGATGCTACCATCTATCGACACGAGTTCATCAACATATTCAGACACTCGCACGACATTGCATTACATCCTTCCGAAGTGCGCGTACTCGAGCTGCTTGGGCCCGCGAGCGTAGCGCGCGACGAAGCCGCGGGGCAGGTTTTCCTTGCGCGCGACGTCATGGCCCGCCTCGGAGCGTTGAACGACCCGCGTCGGCGAATGAGTCACGGCCACTCGCACTCCTACTCGAGTTCCAGGGGTCACCTTGCGCGAGATGCGTACCCTCGCGGCCTTGGTACGCGGCGGTGAAGCACGAGCTTTGGCGCTATCCCGGAGCGCTGTTCATCTCAGCTTAATTGACTCAGCCATCGACTCCGACCCGCGTCTTAGCTCTCTTGCATTGGCTCACCACCCCTCATCCGTCCTGCTATGACCCGTTACGCCAAGCTTGCCTAGCCCACCAGCTCGCCTACTTATCTTACTGTACATTCTACGCATCTCGTCGCGCTCTGCTCGTCTACCATTTGTTATCGCTTCACGCGTTGATCTCGTCTCCGTCTGTACTATAGCCGCCAGCCGCCGATCCATATCGCCCCATCTCGTTCTTCCCAGCATCATCTATCCAGGTTCTTTACGTCCCATCGCTGTGGTCGCTTTGCTTATTAGATTCTCAAATTCACACTAGCATTGACGCTAAGCATTGAACTACCAATGAGAGGTCATTGTACATGAACGCCGAGCGTGCCCGGACTTGGCTGTGGCACAAGCTGTGCATTGACCTCACCCCAGTCGTCAATTGTCAGTCGTGTGCCGCAATCGCTCGCCTCTTGTCGGCGATGCTCGGCTGCTGAACATGTCCTATTACCTGTAGGTCAGTTGAGCAGCTACCCAAGCACAACTGCCCGCATGCGGGGTCGCGGAGATTCGGGGCCACGATAGGGGCACTCATGTGGCCCACGATGGTTCTGATGCCTGGCTCGTGAAATCCGAAGCCTCGAGCTCGCGATCTGCGGCTCCAGCTCTATCCTCGACGCATCCAGCTCTACGGTGTCCGCCTCCTTCTGGCTTTCGGACCGAAGCTTGACAACGGCGAACAGAGATGGACGTTCCGATGCTCTGACAGAGAATATTTGTGCCGTTTGTAACGTTATGCTGACCGAGCGGGAAGAGCTTCTATCTGCTTCGTACGCAACGGCGGGACAGGCCGCAGCGGCAGTACACACGGTGACTACTATGCGCCATTGTTCACTTGCTCTTAGCGTCGGAGTCAGCCGACAAAGATGCGGGACAGAGGAAGCACCGATGCAACTTGACCGATCTGTTCGAAGAGAAGCCTCGAGAATGGATGGGAAGAGTGCGGAGGGTATGGAAGGGCTTTACAGCTGAGCCGAGCATGCCCAGGAATAGACATGTGTAGAGTTGCACCCGCCGGCGACGGGAGCGGCGCCTTCGAACGCCTGGTCGATGCCCGCGAGTATGAACCCGCGGCGTCGTACTTGGGTGAATTAAATCGCCGCTAAATTTACAGGACAAATGTCAAGCTCACAAATGGTCGTACAATCCAACATATATTTTGCAAAGTTGATATAAGTATACATCCACGCGCGAATCCTAAGCGCTTCCCAACAAAAAATCGTAATTGCAGGGACACGATACAGTACCATAAACCCGTATTCACGCTGCTTACGCGGGTCAACTCATCGTCCATGACTGTCACAGGCTAACACTATCAACATCGCTCCGCGGACCGCCGTTCTGAACAGGGTAAATTAGCGCGCAGGCACTAGTGAGGGAATATAGACAAGTTTGGATACCGTACGAGCCCTTGCAACATCGAATGTCTGCTCACGTCGGAATCGCGGCGGACATCGGGTCCAATGGCTCAATTGGTCAGTCGTGAGGCGAGATGATGGAGCGCTGGTGTGCAGAGTGCGATGGCGACTTGGTAGCACGGTGCTCAAGATCTACTCGTATCTAGCTCTCTAGGAGCTTGAGATTGACCATCGCAGAATGCGATGACCTGTGAACTGTATGCCCGTGAAGCTCGCACGCGTCCAATTTTATTTGAGTGGATCGAATCCTCCTACCATGAAAGGTGGTGTAGGGGAATATGTGCACGTTGTCACAATGACGAGGGGCAGCACGTTCGAAGAGGTTGTAGAGCATTGCTGCAGTTGGTGGCGTGGGCTCAGGATAATGTCTTGACTATCGGCAGGCACCTTCGATCATTGGGCAAGTAAGGCCCAGCTCCGTGCTACGCAGAGTCGTTATTCTGCGCCGCTCTATCGACGAGCTTGACTTTCTGACAAGTAGCCTCCCGCGTCGTTTTTCGCATGACGACGGCGTTTGGGGAGCATCAATCCGTCAGAGGTATCAAGTTCAACAGCGTCGGAGATCTCAAGGAGTACGATGTTTGCGATGAGGCAGGGCATTATGTATGATGCATAACAGCAGCCAGTACTTGCTAAGGCACTGAACAGTGGAGGGCCATGGTGGTGTGGTTGCAAGAGACGCGGTCACGGTACCGACTGTTCCGTTGCGCGTCGCGTGGTTCTTTCCTCCGCTCGGTCATTGAGCAAGGTCCGCTCCACAGCGCCTATTTCAGTCTAGTCTCGCCCCTTCATGATGACCGCACGCTGCTAAGTCTCGTCTATATCTGGAGACCCGTCCTTGGCGGTATTCGAAGTTCTGCCTGCTCTCGATACCAACAACAATGCTGCACGCGCTGCCTGACCCTGAGAAGGCTGAAGGTCCACGGACGGCGAACGAATACGCCGGCGCAGGTCTCACTGCCGTCGACCCATCTCCTGGAATCGAGGCTGATGCGCTGGAAAGTGAGGATGCGTTTGGGTTAGAGGATGCGGAGGACGACGACTCGATGCGTTCGCGCAACGGGCACCGCAGAGGTGCCAACCTGTCGCGGTTCAACAGCACGACGGATTCGTTGTTGTGGCACCGCACTCGCTCAGCCATCCCGCGCTGGCTTCTTTGGCTTAAAGACGTCTTCTTTGCTGCCCACGATCGCCACTCGGATATCCCGACATACCGCTATCTACCCTTCGTCTCTGGCGCCCTGATCCCATTCTCAATCCTCTTGGAGATCCCTGGCATCACGGAGCGCTGGTATGTGCGCAAGGAGAACGGCTTCGTCGTCGAGAGCAGAAACAACACAACACTCTTGAATGTCGCCCTTGGCCTTAGTTTGGGAAGCGCGTGTATCGCCAACGGAGCCCTCCTACTGAGGTTCTTCGAGCGTAGGGTGGCGGCAATGACCATCATTTGCTTGCTCTTTCTGACTGTGCATGGTATGTGTATAGCTTTATCGCGGTGGCGACAAGGGGTCTCATGAAACTTTATTATAGATATCATAAACATCATCGGTTGGTCGCCCCCTTGTGGACTACACTTTCTTGGTACTTATAGCCGATGAAGTCATTGTGACTTTCGGTGTTGAGCACAGATTCAACGACGGGTTCACATACGGCGAGAGCTACTGGCTCACCGTGTGCTCTACCATCGTTTCGCTCATCACGAATGGAACGCTCATATGGGATCTTTGGCGCACTCCCAACTTCGCCAAGAGCGGTCAGTTACTCTAACCCACACCTACGCACTCCGGCTGAAATTGTGTCCAGGCAGCGGACTCACTCGCAAACAACGCTCACTAGTCATCATCAACATCATCTTCCTGGCATACACTGCACTCGGCGCTCTAGCGTTCAGATACCTCATCGGCCTGTCCTTCATCGACTCGCTGTACTTCACCGTTGTCACCACCCTCACCATTGGTTTCGGTGACATCGACGCGACAACCGGGGCGCAACGCTCAGTTCTGTGCCTCTACTCTGCTTTCGGTATCGTGATACTCGGAGCTGCTGTGCGTCTGATCGGCGAGACGGTCATTGAGGCCTTGGAGATCGGCTACCGGAAGCGGGTGCGCGACTACAGGAAGCATAGGCGTGAGCGGCAACGACATGTTCGCGAGGCAGCTCGCTGGAGGGACGCCGTCGAGGCGAGGCTCAAAGCTAAAGGTGCCGATGTCTGGGTAGATGCAAACGACGAAGATCACGTCTCTGTGGATGGTCTCCCACGCGACGTCGCACCTGCAGCACATCCCCTGCGCCATGGTCGCAACCCCGTTCGTCCCAATGTCGACAGCCGCATCCCGAAGCCATTCCGGAAAGAGAGCGATCATGAGGCTCTCCCACCACACGATCCCAAGACTGAAGATCGACTTCGGCCCCCACCGCGCGCCGGGATGGTGCTGAATACGGCTGCACTTGATATGGCTGAGCTTGCAGCCGCAGCACGTGAGGCGTCCGTGGCAATCGAACGTTTCGCGCCCGAGGCACTCCAACATACGCAGTCTGCTGGTCGCAAGGCGCGGGAGCCCGGCGTTGGGGATCCACGCGGTGCTACTTGGTGGGCAAATACATATCATTGGCTATTGGCAGCCAAGGGCGCGCATGCGGAGGATGAGCATGCCCAGATAGGGAAGGTCTACGTTGACACAGTACGTGCGCTGGAGATCGATGAGCGCAGGAGCTTATATGTCAAACTCGCCGTCGCATGGACGAGCTTCATCATATTCTGGATGGTATGCTCGCACCCGATTGTTCCTTTGTTTCCTGCATCTGACATCGCACAGGTCGGCTCTCTGATCTTCTGGCATGTCGAAGGTTGGCCATACGGCGACGCTATGTACTTTTGTACGTTTCACCAGCTCATGCATCTATCCGTATTTCATGAAACACCGCGCAGGCTTCGTCACCTTCACCACTGTCGGGTACGGAGACGTAACACCCGTCACCGCTCTAGGCCGTAGCATCTTCGTGTTTTGGGCGCTCATGGGCGTGGGCTCGATGACCGTACTGATAGCAGTCGTCTCGGACGCGTTCTCCAGCAAGTACCGGTCCGTGATGCACTCCAAGACCTTCGATCGCGCTGTAGAGCGCTATCGCTCTGAGCGCCCACCCAATTCCAAAGGCGCCGTGCCGTCCCCTGAATCCCATCCCGGCACACCTTCAAACGACATGCGCGAGCATATCCCGAATCAGCTCAAGAAGGATCTTGACCGTTTGGCCGCGCCGGAGGGGTTCAAGCTCACTATGCGGCGACGCTCTGGCGCACGAGATGACCCTCAGAGTGAAAAGCATCCTCGTCAGTTATCCGACCCTCACCGGTCCACGCCGCACAAAGGCTCTACTGGGCGCCATGAGTCTAGGCAACATGACCGTTTTCCCCGCGATCTTTCTTCACGCGATTCTCGTGAACGTTCGGACCCTTATCCTTCACTTGCCTCTGCATTGCACCCACACTCCGACGAACAGACACACTCGAAGCGATCTCACTCTCCAACACATAAGAGGCACGCAGAGCTTACATCGCGCTTGCGCTCACGCTTCGAAGCATTGCCGCCAAGCATCCTCGAGGAGGCGCACACCTTGCGTGAACAGATGCGCTACTTCCTCACGAGCAATGGCCATGCACATGGGTTGGACGACATGGCGCCCAACACGGACGACAAGGTCCCACGTAGTCTGCGAGACGTCTTCGAGGAGATCTCGAAGGACGACCCCGATGATGGCGACGCTGACCGGTTCGGTGAACGCATGAAGGAGGAGATATGGGAGGATGATTACACACGCAATGTGGGCCAACTTCGATTGTTTTACCTGGGTTGAGAGCTAACGACGGCATTATCAGACTCTTTTCGTGTTAGCTTTTGAAAAAAGCATTCGTAACCTTGTCGATGCCGCGGAAGGCGCACTCGAGGTTCTTGCGGAACGTGACAGGCTGTTGGCGGAGAGTCAGGCGCAACGAAGTGATATTGCTCACAACGGCTCGCCGGAGAGGGTGGAAGACGAGCATGAAATTACCGCACATTCACGGACGCGTACCGGAGAGGAAGAGAAAGAGGACTGAGAGCCGAGACTGCTTTGTACAACCATGACCATGATAACACGACGCCATACACGACCTTGTATACCCGCACTGTTTTGTATCTTTTACCCATACTCGCATATCCTCGATTTTGTAAACTATCAACGCACTGTACACGTTCCTCTCATTCATACGCGATTACATCAACATTTACATCTCATGTGACCGTGATTTGACTCGGTGGGCCGTCGGCCCGCTCGGCGCCCCCGAAGCAGGTCCGAGGCCGCGAACTCACTTGCCGATTGCTCTCATCTCTTCTATCGCAGTCACTGGGACCATGGCTTCCACGACTGAGTTTGCCCTCTTCCTCGATGGCGTCTGCTTCTTCCCGTCTGACCTCAATTGTCTCTCACCTTAGAGCTCGCCGCAAGGTTGTAGTTACACGGGATCTCGGCCCCGATGTTATGCCTCTGCTGCGTGCGCGCGAAGATATCGAGGTACGATAGAGCTCCCACGAGAAGGCTTGTGTACGAGGCTTGAACTTTGTGTCTGCGTAAAGATAGTCGCCTGGCCTGAGCACGATGTTGGCCCTAGTCGTGAATGGACTCTCGAGAGCGTGAAAGGTGCCACCGGCGTCCTGGTTCTGTTCACGGAGAAGGTTGGCATCTATCTCCATCTGAAGATATCACATATGGTAACAGTACATGAAGGTCAACGATGAGCTCTTGGATGCAGGTAGGGTCATTCGTTTGGTGGCATACAAGCGAGTGCGAAGACATTACAGCTGGCCCCAATTTGAAGGTCGTGTCGACGATGTCTGTTGGCTATGGTACGCTACTTTCGCTACACACAGGCTAAGTAGATGTGCTCACATACTCCGGAGATCATATCTCGTTGCCCAGTCTACACAAGCGTAGCGTCAAGCTTGGCTATACTCCGGATGTTCTCACCGATGCAGGTAAAAGATCTCATGCCTCCAGTCGTGCATGAATCTAACGGTGTTCGGGTTGTCTCAGTTGCCGACATCTCTGTAATGCTCGCGCTTATGGCCGGACGCAATGCTGCACATGGTGTCCAACTGGTATCGCAAGGAAAGGTCAGCCGGGCATCCTGGTCTGAGCCACAGCTAGCTAACTGGCATGGTAGTGGCCCAGCTTCGCGCCATTCACGCTGTGTGGACCGCAGTTGAGCACTACGTCCTTTTCGCCTTCGCGCACAGTCGGCTTCCTCGGCTTCGGCCGCATTGCGCAGGCGACTCTCGCACGGCTCGTAGCCTTCGGCGTGAATAGCTGCCTATACTGCACGAACCCCTCATCTCCGCCCAAGGTGGAGCTGGAAGACGAGCTCAAGAGGCTTCACCCGACTTTGCGCGAGATACGTAAGGTAGATCTGGATGGTCTTGCGCGTGAAAGCGACGTGCTGTTTGTCCTTGCGCCCGGTGGGCCTAGCACGCATCATATCATCGGCGAGGACGTCTTGCGCAAGATGAAGAAGCATGCTGTGCTTGTGAATACGGCACGCGGAACACTTGTAGACTCCGATGCGCTAGCGCGGGCTCTCCATGAAGAGTGGATCTGGGGTGCCGGACTGGACGTACTGGAAGGGGAGCCGCATATCAGTGCTGACCACCCCTTGCTGAAAGAGCCACGGTACGTGGCGTGTTATTCAGGGTTCTGTCGGAACTCAGGGTCGGATAGATGCTCGATCGTTCCGCACATCGGTTCCGCAACCTTCGAGACGAGGGTAGGAATGGCGAGGCTCGCCGTAGAGAACATGCTCGCTGGAATAGACGGGAAGGATATGCCTGCGGAGCTCAACATCGCAGAGCGCTTGGGATGATCTAGATGTATCCCATAATTTATATGCAAGAGCGGGCGCAGCCCCGAGATGTGATAGTGTACATGACCAAACAAAACCAGAGAAATGCAGATTGCGAGAACAATGTTCAATGCGGCTGAATGTATGTATTAGTACGGTGTGCACAAAGAGAAACGATTCAGAGTGCGCACCGATGACAAGACGGATGCAAGGTAACTATGCGAGGGTACGGCGGAGTAATACAGCTCATGCCATAGCTACTCATGCCACAGCTAACCAAGGCATTAGTAACGTAGTCTCTATATCGAGAAGATGCCATACCTCGCTGAACAGGCGTATTTGTTGCGGGCGCGGCTGCGAGCGGACCGCGGACCATGGGCGTAGGCGGCAAGTAGGTGAGGCCTTTCGCCTGCATATCGGAACGAGCCTTGTCGTAGAGGCGATATGTGTATTCAGAGAGCTCGCGCTTGTAGAGGCGCATCTGGAGTTGGGTGTACGTCGGGTCCATATCGAGGATGTAATAGAGCGCGAAGAGGTTCAGATGTGTGGGCCCGAGGGGTAAGCGGCGAACGAGGCGGGTTGAGTTGGCTTGCAACCCGGAGATGGACGGCTCGTACATATACTAGCAATGTGGGGTGAGAATAAAGTCATCTGGGCCGTGATTGGCCTGGCCCTGACCGGCCTGAGATGTCGATGGCAGCTCATAGCGGAGGCATAAAGCCGAAAAAAATGGTGGATCCGTGACGTTTGGTGTTGCCCCAAACCCGTGCCTAATTGCGTCGCGCCGGCATGACGACGTTGATAGCCTGACGCTATGGCCCCTCAGTGTACCTTTGATGCAAGTGGCCACTGTAGTAGAACCCATACGACTTTGCTACTCGCGCTCCATGCAAGCCCTCACAGAAGAACCCTGGACGTGTACGCGGCCACCAGCACAGTATGAGATTCACAGACGGGGCTTGACATACTTATGTCGCATGCGTGCCTTGCGAGAGCCACTGCCCGCCCGACGACGCCGGTCCTTCATGGCAGTCTCTGTCAGTCGTACATACAGACCGTCCGTCATAAGACATCCGAAGAACCGAGGCATGCGTCAGACGTTGAATGTTGAACACGAATGACAGCGGGTCCGGAGGTGCGTGGGAGTGCTCGCTCGCCACGTTTCACCGCGACCGGATCCGGTAAGCGCCTGAGCAGCTGCCTGAGCTTCCCTCTTGCGCCCATGCAGTGCTGAGATTACACCCCCTTCATTGTGCAAACGATGCGACTTCCTCCATGTCACCAAATTGTGCAGCATCAGGCTGTAACGCCGTTCGTCTGTGATCCGTGGATTAAGCAATCTGTAGCCTGTATCAAGTCACAGACGTGGGTCACTTGGCATGTGCGTACGTACAGCAGATCATGGAGAGATGTTGTGATTGCGCGCGCTGCCTCTCTATACGCGCTCGAAGACCGAACGCGTCGTTGGTTTTGACGCTCATCACGACCGTTCATGAAGTTTGACGCGCCATGGCTGACGGACGCACTGGCCATTCGTCGATCTACTCGTCCTACTACACGGATGATGACGAGGACGGTACGTGGTCGCCGTCTTGCCACACCTCTCACACTTTGCTGATGCTCTTGCCAATAGCTCGTGGTCGTTTGAGACAGAGGACGCGACAGCGTTCAAGCATGGATGCCGACTCGACCAATACCCAGCCACCCACTCGCGGTACCTCAATGTCGATGAATAGCCATTCTTTCGCGCACAGATCCACCTCGCCACAACCACCAACATCAACTCAGATGGGTTCTATGTCCTCGCGCGAGGAGGCTATGTACCCGCAGGTCAGCGCCCTCTTGTATCCTTAGTTGCCAAAGTTTCATACGCTCACAATGATAGTATCGTCCTCGCGAGGGAGGTCTATACCCCGATCTTCCGGATACACCAGTACCTGGAACATTACCTGCAGAGCCGCGCTATAGAGCGCACGATCCGTGGTCACATCGACGTCGCACGCATTCACCACCTATCGACCTTGCAGCACAGGCGCAGGCCAGTCGACCGTACGGATACGCACCCAATTATCCGTCAGCACCTCCAGCAATGCAGCCGGACGCACCATATGGCTCTGTCATAACGCCAGAGGCGGCGTGTACGTCGCAATTCTTCACGCATTGTCCTGCGACTGACCGAGACGATATAGCTGGGCCTTATCCATACTCTCATCACGCGTCACCCTCCCCAAATCACCCCTATGCTTCTTCCACGACGAGTCCATGGCCCACCAATCCAATACCCTACACCCCTGCGGCAGCACCGCTCTATCCTCAATTTGGCCAACCTGCCACGCTGGCTTCGTCATACAATAGCCCCTCACAAAACACGTCAAATGCCGCCAACGTCTTCGGTCAGGAAGTCCTACTCGACATCGGAAAGGCTCTGCTTGTGTCTATTCCGCAGGAGGTCTATATGCTCTTCCTTCTTCGACTTCCACGTTTCTACTTCTCGCGCGTGGCAAGGGTCTTTGAAGATGCAGAACTCAGCATGCCCGATATCATCCGCATATATACGACATCTGCGCGAGAGTGGCAGGCTCGTCAAACCTCCGGGAATGGTCGTATCAATATAGCCCGGCTCCCTGTGCCGACTTGGAACCCTCTCACCGGCACCGGGGCCTCTGAAGTCACTCCAGCCATGGAGGCGTTCAAAGACTCATGGGAGAGTTTCATTGGTTCTTTACTCCAGGAATGGAATACATTGAATATTATATCTGCTCTGCTCTCAGCGTAAGCATGTGTTGCAATCCCATAGATCGCGAGCCTGATCACTTCACACAGGTCGATACTCACACTACTCTCTCTGGGCGGTACTGCAGACGATCCAATAACCCGTACGGCTGCCGTCATATCCTTGTTATGTTCCATCTGGAGCATCATCTATGCGTCAATGTATATCGTGCGCTTTGGACCTATGCGCAAGATGTACAAAGCGGCCAGCTGGGCCAAGGTATTCTCCACCTTCTTGTCTTGCACTACTCAAGCTGACCACAGCTCAGGAAGCCAAGGAGCGGACAAATATCTTGTGGAATGTCTGGGCTTTGCTAGCCATGCCGGCGGTGTGGCTCATGTGGTCGTTAATCGCGTTCCTGGTGGCCATAATGTCTTACGTCTGGCGAACCAATTCTGTGAACAGCCCCGACTCACGCACGACTTCGGTGCACGCAGCGCTCGCCACGCGCATCGTTATCAGCTGCGTTCTCGGTCTCGGGCTGGTCTACTTCTTAGCAATGCTCAATACGTTCCGCCGTTACGGCGAAAAGATGGACAGCGAATGGAGGAAGACTATCGCCGGGCTGGCAAACCAAGCTTGGCTACAACAGAGAGCAGGAGTCCAGGCTGGTGACTACCCGTTCTACTACGGCAGTGTCACTCAGCAGCACCCGAATATGCCCTATGGTCCTGCCTACCCTCCACTACGCCCACACTATCCACCCCCTTATGAAGCGAACTATCGGCAAAGGTCACCATCTCGTAGCTCTGAAAGGATCAGTCGATCGCGACGTTCATCTCCGCCTACGATGCCGTACCAAAACGGTCGCACTATATATGTCGACCCCCCTAACCCGGAATATGGAAGGCAGGGAGTGCGAAGGTCCTCTCTTCGCTCGCCCTCTCGACCGCCGCGCCGGTCCAGTACAGGCGATTCGTTGTCCGTCCGCGTGCAAGCGACTCCGCACATTCTCAACCCGAGTACAGCCTCCAACTTGAGACTTCCTCGGTCCGCAGTATCCCGGCCATCATTTGATACCCAATCGGGATCCGGTGACTACGGTGCAGTTCCTCTGTCGACTATCTCCGAGCGCACGGAACCCATCACTCCGCCCACCGCCGTCTCTGCTCTACGCCCCGAACCAGATGGAAGACCGCTTGCGGTCACAAACGAGTTCGACGCCTTTCGAGCCGTCACGCTCTACAACATAGACATGAGCTCGGCGCGCGGAATACCATTACAGCTGCACATCCGTGGCATGTCTGAGAACATCTGGAAGATGTTCCTCAAGGTGAATGACATCGCCGCCTCATAGTACAAACCCACTTACATACGTATGTAGGACCTTCAACGAGCATGGCAGGCCGGGGTGCTCCCGGAAGCGGGTCACCCGTCACCCCTGCTACCTCCAGAGGCCGTCTTCCATATCTGTCGCATATGGAGCGAAGACCCTTGCCCTACATATGGCGTACGGCCTCTACTGTGTGAAGAATGGCTCGAAACCGGGTTGATGTCCTATACCGTATACTTCCTCGACTTGAACACCGTCACAGATGACCTTCGACACGCCTTTCGAGATATTCCTACGGGCGTGAAAAAGCTTGTTCTTCTTTGGAAAGAGCCGGTTTGGGACGCCGACTACCGAAGGGTGTGGACTTTGCATCGTGATGTGCCTCCACCTGCGCCTGCCGAGCATCATTCCGAGCAGCATCTAAGCGTGAGTCCAGGTAGTATTTTGTCCAGCATAAGCGCTCGCTGATTATAATATAGGGTGACCTTCCAGGGCGGCCACACGATCATCCACTATCGGCACCTGCTAGCTCCGACGATGCGTCAACTACAATGCTCGGGACAGGTCTTTCGGACTCTCCTCATTCCCTCCAACGCGAAGTTACGGTGCAAGCGGATGAAGAAGAGAGAGCAAGAACGGCCAATGTGCCAAGAGTACTGTCAGACACGAACGAATGAAAGCATTACGAATGTACACGCCCTTTATACTAACGACGTAAATTGATCGACTGAATATTATAACTCGGACTGCCCGACATCGGCCACATCAGCCCGTAGATATCTTCCCCCTGCCGTCACAAGGTTGGATAGCTCACAATCGCAGCATCCCCGCGGGTAATAGTACCCCTCTCATACAGCCATGATCCATCCCGCTGTACGCCCTCGGAAGACATGCTCCGATGCCCGGTGCACGTTGCGGATGGATCAGATGGCAGCCTCGTGCTTCTGCTTCCTCCAGTGGCGCCAACGGAAATCTTGCTCTTGGCTTCCACCATCGCGGAGCTCGAAGAAATGGCGATGCCTAGCGATTCTGAACGTCACGGTATCTCGTATAGATCCCAGGATCAAGGTATGATACCAGTCTCCAAATCGCATCAACGTCAGATTGTCTGAAGCGTTATAGATGATGCGAAACCGATATTCACGCCAAGAACGAGCCAGCAGCTCAAACAGGCGTATGGCGCGCCGGTCCAAACCCGCCATATCCCCAACGCTCCGCTCTATCGGATGAGCGATCCCTGGTCTACTGAACGCTCGCTCTCGCCGCCTTTCGAGTTGCATGATGTTCTGATCCCTCGTCATGATCTCACTTTACAGGCCCTTGCTAGGCTTGCATCGACGGCGGATTCTCTTCACGAGCATCACGTAGACGGAACCGAGACGCGTATGTCGGTCTTCCTCCTCTGAAGTCGTATATTTGAGTTGAGTATATATACTAGCAATGTATCGTCAATTCCCTTTGGTCAACGGAAGTGCCGGATCTCTGCCGGATTCGTGGCGCTCTTCAGAAGCCGATACGCGTTCAGTAACTTTGGTATCTAACACAGCTGAAATGAATATTCCGAACGTCGACAAGCCCCGATCATGGCGGCAAAGAGCCTTGCATGTTCAAACTGTCCTCGAGCTAGAGTGTCTTCTTGCACCGGCATACGCACTGTTCAGATCGATGCCTCGGGAGATATATACTCTTTTACTATTCCGTCTGCCACTTTTCTACCTTTCACGGGTTCAGAAAGTCGTGGAAGATGCGGAAATCAGTGAACCGGAGATCGTGCGCCTCTACCTGACTACGGCAAGAGACTGGATGGCACACGAAAATTCGACCGTAGATGTGCGTCCTAGTCGGATCAGCCTTTCTGGTCTACCTGCACCCTCTTGGAAGTCGGCGGATGGGGTTGATGAAGCAATCACACCAGCTATCGCTACCTTCAAGCAGTCTTGGGAACGTCTAATTGGGTCTCTTCTCCAGGAGTGGCAGACGGTCAACATCATCTCTGCTTTATTATCTGCGTGAGTGGACCAACTTGAGACTGCATTCTCATATATGCTGACCGCCAAGTCTAGGTCCATCTTGACTCTGCTCTCCGTGAACGGGACTTCGAATGATCCTGTCATCAGAACAACCAGCGTTGTCTCGCTGTTATGCTCCTTGTGGAGCATCATCTGCGCATCTCTATATACCGTCCAGTTTAGCCCAATGAAGAGGATGCAGAAGGCCGCTAGCTGGGTAGAGGTGAGCATTCAATGCAAGCCTATACGACACTTCTATCTGCTAACGATGTCGTAGGAAGTGCGGCAGAGGCAACGAGTTTTATGGAACGTTTGGGCTTTGTTGGCCATGCCTGTGGTGTGGCTTCTATGGTCATTGGTATTCTTCATTGCCGCTGTCATGTCATATGTTTGGCGCACGGACTTCGGGTCCACAGATGCAGACTCGCCACCTACATCGAGGGATGTGGTACTTGGGACTCGTATTGCAGTGAGCTGCGTACTTTGCCTCGGAATTCTCTGCTTCTTTGCTATGCTGAGGACCCTTCGCCGCTATAATGGAGATGAGATGGATAGCAAATGGAAGAAAAAGATAGCCAGCTTGGCATCTCGAGCCTCGGCTACTAGGCCGCATGCCAGTGGAACGACTGCCAACCATCCATACCCATCGTACACAATTCATGGGCCACATCGCCCAAGAAGCGATTCGCACTCAAATGCGAGGGTGTCTGATTTGAGCCCCTCGGGATCATCTGTGCCTGCGTCCGAGTCTGATCTTCGTCAGTTCGTCGCGGAACCACAGGGAACTCCACCAGAGCCAATCCAGCCTCGCACATATCGTTCCCATGGCCATCTGCGCTCATCTATGAAACCTGTATCCCAGCAGTCACATCGACCCCGCTCTGGACTGGGGCGTACTGTTCGCATACAACCTGAGTTGGAGATCATCAATCCCAGTGATTCGGACATATCATCTGCGCCGGGCGGATCTCAAAGACAGGCTTCTGCGCGGGTTGTCATGCAAGACGGTGAGATGCGTATAGCGGACATAGCCAATACGGAGCAACGAGAATGGCCTGATGCATTGACGGGCTTCCCTTGGCTGCAAGTACTCAGCGCAGACGGTTTCGTGGCGTTTCGAGGTGTACAGCTGCCTGTGCCTAATGACGAAGGGAATGTTGCCATGCCGCCTCAGCTGCTGCAAACTGGCTTGGCCAGCTCTGAGTGGACGGACTTCGTAGAGGCAAGTGTATTCCCCGCCGTATGTTGAATAGACGTGATTGACTATCTTGTTAGGAACTTCGTGCCGCATGGAATAGTTGGCAGACTCTGTTAGTATCACCCGAACATCATCGCAACCGGCTTACTCTCCCAGAAGTATGGTTTCAAATCTGCTACAACTACGCCAATGGCTGTTTTGCGCCTTACGGCGTGTATCCTATCCTTTGTGAGGAGCGTTTGATCAATGGCTCTGTGGCTTATTCAGTCTATATGGTCGATATCAGATTTGGTGACGACTGGAGATACTCGTTTCATCGGCTGCCTGATGATGTGACGGAGGTTGTACTACTCTGGGAAGAGCCTATTTGGGATGATGCTTTCCGTGAGACATGGACCATCCGACAGGGCGATCTTGACAACAGCACCGAGTGGTCTGGCTCATCAGTGTTCCGAGAGAGGATTGAACAAGAGTTTGGGATTGCATCCCAAGCGCTTAGAGTCTTTGAACCGTCACCAACTGTACTGGAAGCTGGAAGGTCTCCCTTACCTCGTCTGTCTGAGAACCTTCGCGACGGGGGATTCACAGTCAATAGCAGACTACGGGGAATACTGAAAGAAGAGCATTATCATGCCCCCCTGGGTACATTAGAAGAGTCAGTGCACGTGGGGTCATCAACAAGCCTCGAGATTCTGAGGGCTCCTTCAGACCCTGGGCAAACTGGCCCACGTCCCGATAGGCAGACAAAGGATAATGGGGGTCAGTCGTCAATGGCAGACGAAGATACGAGCGAGAGCATCAGAGAAAAACCGGGCGGTGAGAGCGGGGAAACTGTATATGTGGATGGAAACGCTTCAACGGCTTACGAGGGAACGGGATTGGGACAAGAGGGCGCAGGAGAACACGGAGATTCTGTACCTGCTGATGAGCATGAGCGGAATACGGACGGACAGGAGGAAACGTGAGCTAGTTCTTCACGTTGAGCACATCCTACAGAAGCGCGCTAGCTGGGCGGGTAGCGACATTATATGATTAGAGTAAAGGACATTTGTTACAGTGGGATATTGCAAAGTATGTGCGACCAATTGTACTATCTGCGCAGAGCGATGCATAAGAGAGGGAGGGGGTGGGTTGAGTTAACCAGTGAATTGTAACTACTCCAATATGCGTGACATTCGTCGTATGGCGCGTGGTATCGAGGGCGTCGGGGCGCGTGGATGGCCGACCTCGGGACTCTTGTTCCGGGTAGTGCTGATCGCGGACGTTGATTCAACCGGAGCACTCTGAGCACGCTTATACCCCCTATCCGCATGCATGAGCCGCACGAACTCTGACCATAGCGTGTAAACTCACTTCGCTATCTTCGGCATGTCGAAGGATGACAGGCCAGAAGAACGTGAGTCTGGCAATATCGATAGCGGCGGCAGCGGTAACTCCAGCGAGCTTTGCCTTGCCGGAGTGAACAGAATGGGGGATTCAGAGATGAACTGAGTGAGCCGTGGGCTGGCATCGGCCGTGAACGACGGATTCACGCCACACTCTGTCCATGACGCTCTAGGCGATGATTGATCGCATGATGGTGCAGACCTGCTATCTTGAGAGCGGAGGTAGCGAATGAGCCTCCCAAGAGCACGCAAGGGACCAAGTAGCGGTGTAATGAACCACCAGACGAAGCCTACTGTGCGAGGAATGCAATGGTAGGCGACAAGATAAGCCACCAATGCCTAGCGAAGACGGTCCAATTCAGCACGATAAGTTTGTATATGCGGCTGACGCGACGCACCTCCATGGGATAGTGCCATACAAGGACCACGAGTCGACTGGTGATACTGGTGAGCGATAACCGGCCGAGATCTCCAAGCCATGACCCCAATGCGCGGTGTCCGAGAGATGCAACACCTCGAGCGAAAGTGGCCGGGAGTCGCTCGATAGCCTCGACCACCGTCTCCTCAAAGCTTCTGGTCGCCTCATGTACCGAATGCGTGAGAAGTTGGAGAGACTGAGCAAGTTGAACCGCCTCGCGCAAAGCATTCTCCTGTTCCTTGCGGACATGTCTGGACAGAGATAGGCCGTCCGACAAGTCTGTAGAGAGGTCCCCAGTCGCCGTCCAAATGGCTTGCACATTCTGTCCCGCTGTGAGATACGGAATGGACCGAGGTGGAATCGCAGACACTCACCGTAGAAACCAAGCCGAGGTCTTGCGTGATATCGCCTGCGATACGCCGCTGACGCTCAAGGTCATCGTGCAACGACGCCAGACGCAGCCCAAGATGATCGAGCGTCGTAGTCAGATCCTGAGAACGTGCGACAATTTCGCCGAGGAAGGTGTTCTGCGCGTCCATTGAAGCGGCTTTGTAAGCGATCAACGAGTCCTCCTGGACCTTCTCCCAGCGAGCCTGAGAGCGCGCTGCTCTGTCTTCTCCGGATACGAAGACCTGGATAGGTTACATTGGCGATCAAAGCGTGAGCGCAGCTAGAGTGTACTAACTGTATTGAGTAACTCGCTGGCTTCTCCGGCAATTTCAGTCGAAATATCACGAAGGCGCAACTGAAGCATCTGCAGTTCTGATGAGGTTTGACGGAAGTCCGCGTGCAGGTCTCGCCAATCATCACGGAATACTTCGTCCTCGGTTGCACGCGCCTCGAAGTAGTGAATCAAAGCGATGTTTCCGGTAGTCGCGTTGTGAAAGAGCTCCATAGCACGATCTGGACAGCATTGAGCCACCAGCAGGCACGTCACGCGCATATGCGCACCTATTCCTTTCGCATGCTGCATCGCGGCGCATATAGGAACTACGTAACGTCAGAGTATGTTCCTAAGACGATCTGGCAGACGCACGGATGTCGCGGTGGTATCCTGAGAAGCTCGCCCAAGCCTGCGCGCTCCGAAGCATGGCCCTATACGCGAAGATTCAGTGTACGGCAAAGATGAAGCGGGTGTAAGCGCACTGGGTGCAGGGTCGAGGGTCGGTATCGTCTGGGGCTCCCGCTCGCTCTTCGGGCGCGAATGCCGCGCACTCCATGGGCACGAGTTCGTCGTGCGTTGAAGCAGCCTTGAGTTCGCAGATTGCCAACAAAAGGGCCACTAGAGAGTGACCTAAAGTGAGTCTACATGTTCACGCTCTAAACATAGAGCGGTTCGTACCTCGGACGCGCGCGGTCTCGTCTACTTCTAATCTATCACATCGACCGCGCAAACTCTCCGCGCTCACACGCCTGAAGCAGTTCGACCGGTGCTCAAACTTGTCTAGCGCTAGAATCTGTCAGCATGCAAGGCACATATCAGCACGCGAGAGGTGCACCAGTATATTCCTGCATGTACAAGTTTGCAGCAGTGGCTGCGTCGCTTTCGCTTGCGGGATCATCTGTATAGAGATAGGGTGAGTACCTTCACACGAGAGTATCACATCCAGCGCACGCTTCAAGGATTTCCAAAGTTGATCGTTTGCTTGTGCGAGAGGTATCCCGTACAGAGCGGCGGATAAAAAGCTCAAGAACCACCTGTTGTGCATGAGTGGCGAGTCTACGTGATCTACTGTAGAATCGCGTCAGCCATTTCCTGATGGGTACATTGGCAGTCATGCATCGCCTGGAGTTTGAGCCTAGTTGTATGTACGAGTAAAGTTCGATGACGGTGGCGAAAGGGGGGAAGGAGGTGAGGGAGAACAAGGACGCCGCGAAGCAGGGCGCCTGTGCGCGTCGGCGGCCGGTCCGGAGACTCCAAGTGGCGTGACCGCGACTTTGCTTTGGGATTTATATCGTGCGTTGTGATTTTGACAAGTATGACGCGAGGTAAGATGATATTCTGGAAGTAGTGCAAAACACTATATAGGTGTAGGGAGAGATGAATTTATAGAAGATTAAGGCTACTGCTAGGGGGTGGGGAGGAACGCGTGTCGTGGGCAAGATTCAAGGAGTAACGCATTTTTGAGAACGTAGAGCAGTGAATGGCCGAGAGTGTTGCATCGTGAAGGCGACGGGAAGTTGGAGAAGTCCTGTAAGAAGATGGTGGTCGTACGGTAAGGCCTGAGCGGCAAGGATGACAACGTGGCAGGAGGTACCATGCGACGGCCACGCGAGACCCGAGAAGTTGGCTGCTGAACGTGACCGCGATGAATTTTCTGGCGCACCAGACGCGTTCTTCGATTCTGCCCTTGACGGCCACGGTCGACCCTCAAGTGCGCATCACCATGACCAAATACATTCTCGTCTCTGGAGGCGTAGTCAGTGGGATAGGCAAGGGCGTCATCGGTACGCCACGTCCGAACATCAGTCCCGTATGCGCCTTCGTTCAACCCCACGAACCCCAGCCTCTTCGACCGGCCTGCTCCTGAAGATGACTGGCCTCAAGGTCACGTCTATCAAGATCGATCCGTATATGAATGTGGATGCTGGTACAATGCGCCCTCAGGAGCATGGTAAGACCCCGCCGCTGAGCCATGAACGGAAGTGCAACGGCTTGATCGCGCGCCACAGGCGAAGTGTACGTGTTGAACGATGGCGGCGAGGTCGACCTTGATCTCGGAAACTATGAACGCTATCTGAATGTAACACTGTCTCGTGACAACAACCTTACTACCGGTAAGATCTATCAGCATGTTATTGAACGCGAGGTACGAGCAGCAATAGATCAGGTTATGAGTCACTTGAGGCTCACAGAGGCATCTATCAGCGCCGGGGTGACTATCTGGGAAAGACGGTCCAAGTAGGCGCCCGTAGAGCCACGTTCGTCTTCTCAGCTTACCTAGTGCATAGATCATCCCTCATATCACGAACGCTATCCAAGACTGGATAGAACGTGTATCCAAGATACCCGTCGACGAAACTGGCGAGGAGCCTGACGTCTGCATTGTCGAGGTGCGGCCAAACACATCCTCTACTAATGCGTCTCTGACAGGACACAACTAGCTCGGGGGTACGGTTGGCGACATCGAGTCTGCGCCCTTCATCGAGGCCATGCGCCAGTTTCAGTTCCGCGTCGGGCATGAAAACTTCGCGCTCATACACGTCTCGCTGGTGCCGGACATGCACGGCGAGCAGAAGACGAAGCCGACTCAGACAACTGTCAATGTCCTGCGCGGTCTCGGTCTTCTTCCTGACCTTATCGCGTGTCGCCTCATTATACCTCAACCGCTTGAGGAGGCGACAAAATCCAAAATCTCCATGTTCTGCCACGTTCGCCCCGAGCAGGTTCTCGGCGTTCACGACGTTGCATCCGTGTACCACGTCCCACTACTGCTACATTCTCAGGGCATCGTTGGATTCCTCCAACAACGCCTGCAGCTAGCGAGCATTGCGCTTACACCGGCGATGAAGGAGCGAGGCTCAGATCTCGAGAAGCGGTGGCGGGCCATGACCGGCGGGTCAGTGGCACTGATCTACCTACGTTGTCGCTTTCTGACACCGATTCCGCAGCTCGGAGCGCGTTTTCGATAGCGCGTCCATAGTGCTGGTCGGAAAGTACACGGACCTGAAGGACTCGTACATGTCCGTGACCAAGGCTCTCGAGCACTCCGCCTTCCGGTGCCACCGTAAACTCAAGCTTCAGGTCGATTTCTTTCCTTCCTATCACGCTCGACCCCACTAAGTATGACCTGATTTTAGTGGGTGGAGTCCTCCGACCTCGAGCCACGTATGCAAACCGCGGAGCCTGCGAAGTACCATGAGGCCTGGAAGACAATCGTCTCTGCAGGCGGTATACTCGTACCGGGCGGCTTCGGGGAACGCGGTACTGAGGGTATGATTCTCGCCATCAAATGGGCTCGCGAGCAGCGCATTCCCTTCCTCGGTATCTGTCTCGGCTTCCAGCTCGCTGTCGTAGAGTGGGCTCGCAACGTGATGGGCATCTCAGGTGCCATCTCAGGAGAGTTCAAGGAAGACGCGGCGGACCCGGTTGTCGTTTTCATGCCAGAGGTGTCTAGGACGCACATGGGCGGGACCATGAGGTTAGGGTTAAGGCCGACGGTATTCCAGGAAGGGACCGAGAGCTGGAGTAAGGTTCGGAAGTTGTACGGTGGCGCGGGGACCGTTTGGGAAAGGCACCGTCATCGTTACGAGATTAACCCTGCGTATGTTGAGAGGCTCGAGGAGAGCGGAATGTCGTTCATTGGGCGCGATGAGAAGGGCGAGCGTATGCAGATTATGGAGCTCAAAGGTACGCTACTACCCTTCCCAACTCTCATCGGACTGACGAGCGAGGCCGCATAGACCACCCCTACTTCGTCGGACTTCAAGCTCATCCTGAATTCTGCACCCGTCCGCTCAACCCCAGCCCACCGTTCCTTGGCTTTGTTGCGGCAGCAGCCGGGGCCAGCCTTCTTCGCGAAGTTTCCGAAGCGCAAGCTCAGACGTTCGTGCCCCCTCATCCTAAAGAGTCGATGATCGGCGAGCAGGCGCTCGTTGCGACCACCAAGGAGGTCTTGCTAACAGAAGGCAAAGAACGTGTCCTTCGTGGAGGGGACTCGCCGGCGTAAACCCGCACATGCAGTAGTCCTTCTTGTATGAACGGTTTCATGTAGAGATCTCACCAACGCACACGCCTTTTGATGCAATATTGCACCATGATATGTATCCAATAGTCGCTAATCTTGTATGTATCGGCATATATAATATATCCCGCATTAAACGACAATATTGTCAGACTGCACAGTCTAGCAACAGCAAATCAACAGTACGCCCAAGTCTTCCCACTGTAGATGTCATCTCAAAGAAGAGAACCTGATAGGGCAGCGATCAAGTATACCACAGTTCCACGGATAATGGATCCCAGAAGTTATGCATCAGCCAGCTCAAGCGGGGACATGTTCGTGGTCAATCTCTCGGGCTAGCCTCGGGAGCACATTTCCCGCGCCCTTGATGCGAATCGCGACGCGTCGATCCTTCACCGCTACCACGACGACGGTCTGAACACTCATATGCATACGTTTCACCAGCACGTTCCTGACCCCTTCTCACTGTACCACCTGTCTTGATGTCCGATGACTACTCTTCGCTAGCCGTCCTGTCCAACATGGTTCATCCGCGCACTTTCGTCTCATGCGAAGGTGACGGCCGGCGCGCGCGGCCGTAAGGCGGAATGGAGTCAGCACACCCTCTGCATACGGGCTTTACAAGGTTTCTCTCTCGGGCCCCAATCACCCCTGCGCAGCATTCCGAACTCTACTACAGAGTTTGGAAGGTGTTGGCTATGACTTCTGCCCCTGACTGGCGCCTTGGGCATCGTCAGTGCCACTCGACACATGACGCGATTGCACGATCGTAAGGCTCTCATCCCACCATCGACGTTGCAAGTGAGCCTGATGAAGTCCAGGCTTGAAATCTTCTGAATAGATCGTGGCTCAAGGCCTCTCAGTCCCGAACGCCCAGACACATCCATCGTGAAGAATACTTCATACTGCCGAGTCGGCGCGAATTACCTCTTCAACGCCTTCCCACTGGAATTGCTTGTGACCCAGATGTTAGTGTTATATTTAGTCTTCGAAGCCATTGAAGTGACTTATTGTTGCAACAGCCTGTATCCGTAGTACGCTGCGTTGCGAATATCCAGGTATGCAAATATACTGCAGCGCTCTAAAACACACCGTTGATGCGCGGTATTTTCTATCGCAGCTTGCACGTTTGATTGTCACTTCGCCGCGCTTTCTCATCTTGAACTTTGTCCCCAAATGGTCGCGGCGACCAGCGACCGTGCGCGCATAAGCGCCTGACGTGCTCCGCGGCTTCGCCTGACCACCACCTCTGCCCTCCGGTATTACCACGACCCTCCGCACGCTCCAGCTCTGCTCATGCACTCGTTGAGTTAGACTATGCACTGCTATGTACTTCTTCACAGGACGGTCACCTATTTTCAGAAACTCCCTCGTACATTGACCGGTGACCACCTTTGTTCTCGCATTACATCCGATGACTGCTCCGCAAACCCTTTCAGTCAACAAGAAAAGGTGCGGCCCTTATACGCTCTCGTGGACAGACAAGGATGACATGTAACTATGTGGCTGCAGTAGACCGATTCATCCTCGCAATGTGTGGATCATCCCCGTGGACATCCGCGCCAACTGCAGTGACAGACATCAGGGGGAAAATTATCCACCGGCACTTTGCATTCAGACCTGAGTTTGTACTGATGATATTGCTGTGCACATTACTCGCCTGACGTAGCGCGCATGTGCGCGTTTGCTCAAGTATTGAGTTGGCCTAACGAATGTCTGCCGTCGATCATGCAGTCCGTGCGCGGGCATCACACATGCTGATGGTCGAACGCTACACCTCTCGTTCTTGATCCTCATTTAGGTTTGCACGAAAGAAATATGTCCCTTCAAAGTATGCATGCTCTCATCTGTGAGCTTTCAGAATTAGGGTCGCAACCTTCTCTGGCGCATGTGTATGCATTTTCTTGCTTCATAGCTCGCCTTCCCGAACCTCAGTGACGATCCAATGGTTCTTCCTAGTTCACCTGACGCCAATGGACAGCGCGCTGGACGTTAAAGGACGCACGCTCACTCTTTATGGGAAGCACGGGTGTCCGCTAGGGTTACACCATCGCGGTATTGGCCATCTGGCGCGACCGCCAACGTTCATGGCGCATATGTTCTCAGACTCTCTATGTCTATAAAGGTTCGCCCAAAGGTCCTCCATACCCCAGGCTGTCCTCCCGTCCTTGCACCCACCTGCTCGCACTCAGAACTCACCTTTAATATCTATCACCATGAAGTTCTTCGCTGGTCTCGTCACCCTCGCCTTCGCTCTCGCTGTCTCGGCGTCCGCGACTCCCTTCAAGCGTGATGCTGCGACTGTCGAACGCGACATCGCTGCCATTAGCGCTCAAGTTGGGACCCTCAACGCCGCGATCACGCGCTTCGGCAACAGCAAGTCTGCCACGGATGCTGATGTGGGTCCCCTGTCTTCTGCTACTTAATATGCTCACCGCTCAGACTCTGACGCACGCGATCTTTCCAGGCCATCCACCGTGACTCTCAGGAGCTCGAAGGGCGCATCAACAAGGCCACCGCTGACACCCGCAACAGCAAGGACTTCAACGAGGACGAGGGTCGCACCATCCTCCGCGAGTTCCAGGCCCTCGCGCCCGAGATCGTCGCGACCCTTCAGAACCTCGACAACCAGCACCACAACCTCGCGGCGGAGCGCGGCCGTGATGCTGTTGTCGAGTCGGACCTCAAGACCCTCAACGGTGACACCGTCGCCTTCGAGAACGCTCTCTTGGACAAGGAACCGGTCAGTATTCCATTGTCTTCTGCCAGAACATTGTTTGTCTCAACATGTTGTGTATATGACAGGCCGACGACCGCGCTGCAGTGCGCGCTGCAGACGACAGGATCAACGCTGCCTTCGCCGAGGCGATCCGCACTTTTGCGTCGTAAGGGTACGCGGAAGCTTAAGACTTACTAACTGGCTGGCGGTCTATGATGTGGGATTTTCTGTCTTCTGGAGCATCTGTCTTCTTTGCCGAGCTTTTGTGTAGCATCGTAAATAGGAAACCCAGTCAAGTAACGATTACCAATGATACATTGTATTTTCAGTGAAAATCAGCGATGAAGCACTTTGTCCGCCTTCAGACAGCAGGTGGGTTCGTTGGGCACTACATAGAGCGCAAGTGCAAGCTGAACTTCGTACGACGGTGCGGGCGTCGATGCCCGAGGCGAATTCGACGCCTTGAACGGATGTGGGCCGACGTTACATATCCATCAGCCAACAGGCAGGCGGAAATATACTTAGACCTGACGGGGATTGATTACCCGCAGTCACCACCAAATCCGGGCGCGTTAATGCGCTCGCATGCGCGTCAATTATCTACGCACAATACAAAGGCAAAATTGTGAACACTCTACAAGTCTAGCGAGACGAGTATGTCCCAAGCCAGTGCACCACGCATGGCTGGGATGCCGGAATATCGACGAGTGCGAGCCTCGTGTTCGCGCTTTTGATGGCATCACGGAGAACCGAACGCCGGACCGGGACTGAGCGCTTACTGAGCGCTGAGCGCGAGCCGGTTGTTAAAACCGGTACCGGGATTTATACCCCGCCTGCGATTGCCCACGCGGGGGAAACTGAACCCCGGGCCCATAGGCCACTCTGGATTCTACCTATATTTCGCCTTCAGGCTTATCCCATTTCAACAGTATGAAGCCATACTTATAGTCCCGACTGTAGTCTGGCAGGCTCTGCACCTCAAATCATACTACATTTGCCCTGCCAGTCCGTGCTACTTTCTCGCTCATCGAGATTTTTAATCCGACGGATCATTTAATCCAAGGGGTCATTTAATCCGACGGATTATTTAATCCTGGGTGGGGAGATATTTAATCCTGGATAGGGAGATATTTAACCCTTGATAGTGAGATTTTTATCCTGGAAGCCTGTAGGTGCCCGATTATCTAATCATGGACGGCTGCGTCTTAGGTGACTCGGCGACTGCACTCCAAGGTGAATGCGGTCGTGTCTATAGGGAACCCGAAGAGCTAAGTACAGAGGAAACTGCCATCATGGAGGTTGAAGCGAAGTCTTGTCGACGGCCGTGAAGTTCCGATGCCACTCGCGGATCAACAAGGTCGGGTCGACGTCTTTGGTCTCAACCATCATGGTGTCGCTTGATACCCGATGATACCTTACACACCGTTCACCTTTATACGTCACGTATTCGCAAGACTGTCTATGATTGGCCTCATGCAACCCTTGTTTGAATGCCACGCAACCGCCATTGGTTGATATTATCCTCGTGGCTCTACCAACACAATGCTCTTTGGGGCAATGCTTTACCAAATGAACCGCCAGTGTGGTCTACGAATGGATCTTTGAACCGAAAGCAAGTGATCTGCCACAATGGGGTCTTGAGATATATAGTCTGCTCACAGCGGTTGGGCTCGATGGCGTCTCCGCTCTGCGCTTGCTTTGGCGCGTAGGTCGACTCTCGCCAAGGGATCACGGCCCCGATGGAGCGCCCTCCCCACACGACTGGCAACCATCATCACGACAGTGCCCCCCAGCGCATCGCAATCGCGTCATCACTCTCCATCCGGCAGTCGTCCGCGCTCTTGAGCCTACCCACGGAGATCAAGTGCGAGGTTCGTTAACTCTCACCATCGCGCTCTTCCCGTACTCAGTATACAACAACAGATCCTATCAATTTTCGACCCAGAGGCCCTCTTCTGTGCCGATCTTGTCTGTCAGGACCTTCATCAGCTGCTTGCCTCGCCATGCATTTGGTGTAATGTCATCTCCGGACTTTTGGGAAAGTCGTATTCGGAACTGCCGTTCTCTCGCAGTGAAGCGCGAAGTGTTATGAAGACGATCACTCTGTATAGGAGGAAGTGCGACGTGAGTGGCCTGAAGAAATGTCTGCAAACCATCCGATTGACATGAATGTTTACAGCTATGCGAGCAGGACGGTAAACTGTTTTTCTACGGAAACCGATGGCTCTGTTCTGAACATCGTGATTCCGAGTACGTCGCTCTGGTTTGGATTACATAGGGAGCGCAAGCACTCTTCTCTAATCATGTACTCATAAGGACTACCATGCCGGGGGAAGCCACGCGCGAGCGTATTCGCATTATCATGGGACGCCGGCGCAAAACCCGTATACGTAGTATTTACCCCCAAAAGGTCAGGGACGACTTCCACTCTCTCGTCCAGCGTGTCCTCCCGGTATTCAAGGGTAAGCCGTATCAAAAGCGTCGGTACATCAGCCAAATCCGTCTTTTCTGGGAAGAAGTCAACGCAACTGTGAACGAGCTCAAGGAAGGCTCAGAGCCTGGGATTGACAATGAGGTGGATTTGCATGCTGCATGTACTATGAGGGGATGTAAAGATCAGGAAGCACATGCGCGACTCGAGGACATATACAAACGGTTTGAGATGGAAGGCAAGAGAATGGTCGAGGTGAGCACGTACCTCGCTGCAACCGAGGCTGGGCTCACTCATCTTGTTGTACTACAGAGCGCTGCGCTTCTCCGTGTACTTCGTGACCTTACCAAGGTAGAACAGGTCGCTCGTAAGCAACGCCAGATCGCAGGGAAGGAAGCTCGTCGCAGAAGGTACGTTCTTCGTCCATGCGACAGAGGAGCATGTGGGATGCTCATATTTTATAGCTTTCAGCAGCGTCTCGAAGATCTCGGGTACTCAACCACGGATGTCGAAGCCACTCTCGTCTCCTATATGGCTCACAGCTCAAAGTCCGGCCCTTTGACAGAGATAGGCACGTACGATGGGCATTCCTTATTACCAAGTACTGAGGTCAACTCTAGAGTTTCACTATTGTCTACCAGGCCTCCAACAGAGGCTTGACGATCGCAAACGTAAGCGCATGGACGCCTATCTCCCCGTACGCATTGACATTGCCGTGAATGCCCTTCTTGGCCACTATGCTACGAACAATCCGGACTCTCCCACGGCCCTAGAGAGGATCCAGAAGTTCCTGAAGTCTACTCCCTACACCGCATGGTGTCCTCTCATCGCAAACCTCATCGACCGCGACTCGTTCGACACACCCGAGGATCGACAATTGCTATGCGACGATATCAGCCTTCTACTCCACGGTGAACCGCACGTCGGTCAGTGCATCCTGGACGGAGTGGTCACTCTCGGTGTCCAGAAAGGGGAGCTCTTTCTGTCTCTAGGTGACAGACCGCCGATGTATCCGTGCCCCCTAGGACAGCCACCCGTGCACTTTCTTCCACAAACCCACCCTTTACCTGGTTCAGTCATCCCACATGCGCTGGCCCAGTGGGGAGGCGGTACTATGGGCTTCGGACTAGTAGGGTTTTAGCCTGAGGCTGTAGTGGGGTCGGCCAGATACGCTTGCTGATAGTACTGGCAACGATGCTTGGTGTTTACCTTCTGTATGATGCTCCCTAGTGTTCTGCGCATTCAGAGGATGTAGCGATGCATCGAAATATGAGATGAAATATGAGTGAGGAGTGGATGAGTGCGAAGTATTGCGACGACGGACAAGGACAGTGCGAGCGACAGCAGTGCGACTATGGAACCCAAGGACTATTAACGAGCAGTGACGTTAAGATACAAAATAAGAGCACAGAGCATGAGAGTATAGTATAAATCTAGCGGGTGTATGAAGCAGCAGATGTGTGGGTCTGACTTAACCAAGATGGGATGGCCGAGCGATCTCAAGCCTCGCGCCTATTACGGCCGAACGGGCTCCTCGGCCTGCGTTCCTCGCCATCGCGACCCTCACGACGGAAGTCGCGCGGGCGGAAACTACGCTCGCCGTCCTCGCGTCCACGGCCGAACTTGCGCTCGCCATCACCACCACGGCGGAAATCGCGGGGCTTGTCGTCCCACTCCCTCTCAGAGCGCGTCTGACTCCTCTTCAATCCGTACGAGCTGCGCGTCTCGCCACCGAATGACTTGCGGTGGCCGCCTCTCGACGGCTTCGGCCCGCGCTCAGCAAAGCCAACTTTCGCAAGCATGGCGTCCGAGATGTGCGGCGGGTTGGGGAGACCCAGGCCGGAGACGGCCCAGTCGTTCAATCCATCGAGAATGTCGCGACGAGGGACACGGAGCTCGTCGACGCGAGAGCCATAGAAACCCAAAAGCGCGACATGGGTCTGAGAGATAGCCTCCTCGTCTAACTGTTCGCATAGCCTCTCAACCTCGCCGACAGCGCTCTCAACAACGCGCTTGACGGGAGTCTGGTAAGACCTGATAGGCTCGCGAGGTGCATCGCGCTGGAACGCCATGCGCGGCTTGGTCTTGACATTCGAAGCAGGGAAGAACGAGCGAGGGTCGGCGTCGTGTTCGGCGGCAAGCTCAAGCGTCTCCTTCTCCAATTGCTCGGCTGACAAAGATTTGATGGGTACGTCGTTCAGGCAGTTGCCAATCCACTTGGACTCGAAGGGCAAGAGAACGATATCGCCACGTCCCGAAGCGCCCGCACGACCGGTACGTCCAACACGATGGATGTATTGCTCCGGACCGGCGGGGATGCCGACTTGGATAACACGAGTGACGCCGGGGTAGTCGACACCACGTGCGGAGACGTCCGACGTGACGAGGATAGAAGCACCAGAGTAGTCCGCGCGGAATGAAGATGAAGCCCTATCGCGTTGCGTCTGACCCTTGCCCGAGTGGATCTCGTAGATGTACGTATTGCGGCCGGCAGGAGAGGCGTTCGTCTTGAGCTCCCTGATCATGGTGGAGAACAACTGCGTTTGCTTGGTCGTCTGGCAGAAGAGAATGATCTTGGATTTGCCGGGGTTCGCGAGCTGATCGTGCGCAATGAGACGCATAACGTGGGCAATCTGCTGGTCGGCCGACTCGAGGACGGTAACGTATTGCGGGATGTGGGCGTGTACGGGCGAGTGGTCGGCGGCGGGAACAACGTCGATGTAGTGGTGCTCCGGGCTCAGTGCTGCACGGGCAATCTGCTGGATGGCCTTGGAGAGCGTCGCGGAGAACATGAAGGTTTGACGTTGAGGACTGGGAGGAAGGAAGCGGATGACGCTCTCAATGTCGTCGCGGAAACCCATCTCGAGCAATGTGTCGGCCTCGTCGAGTACCAGCTAGAGTGAACGTCAGTCTGAGCACATGACAGAAGATACATGCAACACGTACGACGTTCAAGTTCTTGAAGGACTGAGCGACGTCGGGCTCGGCAGTGAGGAGGTCCAGCAAGCGTCCGGGCGTAGCAACGACGATATCACGGCGACCGCGCTGGAAGTCGCGCAGTTGCATGCCACGGGCAGTTCCACCAGTGAATAGACGGGTCTCTAGTTCGGTATGCGAGCAAAGCTTCTGCGACTCTACAGCGATTTGCGTTGCGAGCTCGCGCGTAGGGCTGATGACGAGCGTGCCGACGGTCGAACGAACGTATTGCTTGACCTTGTGAGCCGCATTCGCCGGGCCGTCTGCCGCCTTTTCGACCGCCTCGATGGCGGCCAAGCGGTTGAGGATAGCAGGGACGAGGAAGCCAATCGTTTTGCCAGTGCCGGTTTTCGCTTTCACCAATAAATCGCGTTTGACGTTCGAATTCTTGTCGTATAATTGCGCGACCTCGGGTAGCAGGTTGAAGACCTCGTGTTGTACGGGAGAAGGTTTGGTCAACTTGAAGGGCTTGACCGTCAGGGCCTTGTAGAGCGCCTCGCCAAGTTGAGGGCGCAGCTGCTCGAACGTGACCGGGTGCTCGTCGACCATGCCAGTATCCTCGCCTTCAGCAGCGTGTGCACGCGCTTGGGCTTGCGTAGGGTCTGATACACGTGATGTGTATGATAATGAGCGACATGATACTGGTCCACGGGCAACTGCAACAACCAGGTCAGCTCGACGCGGATAGT